AAGAATACCCCCTAATTATAAAAATAGTTTTTGAATATCTATTTGGGTGGTGTTTAAGGCAAGGTGGGGGGGGTTTGAGTTGCGGAGCTTGAGGGGGGAGCTTGGAAGTTGACGAAAACCCAGTAAACAATACGATAGCCGTGAACGGAACCCGATAACGAGAAATGAAAGCTTACTGATCGAATCACAAGCCAAGCAGGTACCTACAGAGAAATTGGATAATCTTGCCAAGGAACTGCACAAATCTGATCCAGGCGCGGGATTGCCGGGAGTCCTGGCAGAGGTGGCGAACCACATCTCAACCGCGGTCGTCGGCCCTAAACTCCTCAACGTGCACGCTCTGAAGCATCAAACCACAACCACAACAACAACAACAACAACGACGACGTGGACAACAACAGCAACAGCAACAGCAGCGGCATCATTGGGCATGGCGATATCTATCACGTGTACTTGTCCAGATTCTAGTACCACGCCGTCACCACCACCATCAACAACAACAACACTGTTAGCATCAGCATCAGTCTCGAGGCAATCCTCTTCCATCTTCATCAGAAGCAGAAGCCTGATCCTCAACCATCAGAGTCATCGCCAAAGAGGGCATCACCACCCCATCACGACCATCGTCCTCGTCACAAACAAGTCACTATCATGACCCTCGTCTTGGTTCGCAAGCGTAAACAAGCAAGCACACCTCCAACCGACGGCTTGCCCTGGAGAATGTCGATGTGACCTTGTAGGAACGCCTGAGTTTGCGCTGGGCTCAGAACTTGAACTTTAGAGTGTCAAGTGCTCACAGCTTTACGTCGGCCCCTTCGAGGCTTAGAGTGGCTGCTTACGGCTTGTTTTCGGCAATGTTGGCTGTATAGGTCTTTAGCAAGGGCATCACCCGTATCTTGTCGTAGACTCCTCCTCGAGAACCCGTACAAAGCGAGCCAACCCGTGCTTAAATTTCAGATTCCGTACTCAAGCATAAGAAAAGGCTTCTGCAAACGCGTATGCCTTTGGCCCAGACGAAGATTGCAGAGTTTGCCCACACCGGGCACCTCCCCTAGACCCTGTACCTGAAGCTTCGCCAAAGTGCATCCCGCGTAGTATTGAACAGCAGCCGATTGCCTGGCATCGCTTGGCGCGGATTGGCAAGGGATGAAACGCTGAGAGATACCAGAAAAACCTGAAGCCTTTTGGAACACAAGGATGAAAGTAAACGAAAGAATTGAAGACCCAAACCATAAAACCCAAATGCCAGGTGGCTGCAAACGATCAAAACTCTCTGCATCTCTGTTTCCAAAATACCACCTATCGCCTATGGCTACCAATACAAGAAGTATACTTTCGCAAAAGCAGCACGTACAACACGTCATGACCAGAGCTGTGTCTCAAGGATCTGTCAGATAATGCGAGACACGGGCTGAAACCCAGCGAGAGAGAGAGAGAGGGGCCTACAGGACTCGGAATTTGGAGTGGGCATTGGCTTCATGGTCGACGGCTTTGCCGAGCTCTCAAACTCTGCCAGGCGCGCTGTCCGGAGAGACGCCCCCAAAAACCATGTTAACCACTGTGACGAGCTTTGCAAGCATCAGCGACTGCTCGTTGGCGACCTGCTTGCTGTGAGAACATCCAACCAATACTCTAAGCCTCGAAGCTCTATGAACCCAGAAATCCAACTCTCGCAACCCCCTGTGAAGCCTAGGCTCCACATGTAATAAACGAAACGGGTGCAACGGGGACGGACACGAGCGAGTGAAATGGAGAGGGAGAGAGCACGAGGGCGAGAGGGAGAGCGAGCCGAGGAGCTGTGATGCTAAATGCAGGCTGATGATAAGGCGCCATTTCCCCAATAGAAGGGTGGCACCAATTGCACCATGGGGTTCTTTCGCGCCGATTTCCAAAACTAAAACTTTGGCACTCCTGAATGCCCGACAATGCCGGCCATCGTGCTTCGGTCATGGTCACATGATGACTTTTGACCCTTCAAAGAGCTCGAAGGTTGAAGTCGAAGTCCTCACAAGGCAGTTTTTGGAGTTTTGTTGTGTTCGGTGCCAGCGGTGCTCCCAGGTGCGGCTCTGGGTATGTAGGGTCTTTTGCGGCTAGGTGTTTCGTACTGAAGTTTGGGGCCTACACGAGCACCATGCTGTATGATAGGAGTAAGAACGGAGAAACGATACGGTTTGGACAACGTCAACAATTCGCCGCAACGAGGCGAACCGCACAGTCGATCCTAAATTACACTCCAGTGTGACGTCAAGCGCACCGCACCAAACCTGCAGAGCGTAGCCGTTGAAGTTCGGCAAACTCGTCAAGACAAGCTCCACCATCCTTATTCCACAGACAACCGAAAGCTGCACCAACAAGCTTAACCTATACGCCCTCAGCCTCGCTACTGCACCCCACATGTTTACCTCGAGCTATAACTGGGCAATCCAAGTTGCCGTGTCAAGCCCTCAAAACTTCGACCGGAAGCACTTCACGTTCTGTCCTATGTCTTGCTACAAAACACGAACCTGTTGGCACCAACACCTAGGACTTTGACGTTCGAGCTTCTGATGTAGGGCTTATGACTACAGAAGGCTTTCTGGGATCTAAGCCAGCTATGCGACGGGGTCAAGGGCTCCCGCGATGGAAGTTGACATGGCTCTGCATCTCAACTGCTGCTGTCCATGCAAGGATGAACAGGAGGCCTGGGACATACTTGCTCCAGGGATTGATTAAATCGCCGTACCTGTGACCATGAGGTACCTGCGCAACACCGTGCTCCTGCGGATATTTTCGCTGCGGCCTGTCGTTTTCACCTCCACTCGCGTTCCGGCAGCAGTTCCGCAAGTTTCGGCCTATCAAATTCATGCTCCCGCCACGGTGCCTCGCATGTTCTGTTTGACCGTGCTCGCGCTACAGTATGGTGCGAATTTTGCGCCTGGACTGGTTCCAGGGTATGTAGGGCCTCAACTGCTAAGTCTTGCGCTGTGTGAGGTCTGCGTCTGCGGTGAGGCTCGAATTTGTGGGTTATACAAGGCTTCATGAGACTTCTTGTTTGTGTTAGTGAGACTGAAGCGTGCGTCTGAATCGCAATCCCCCGTCTCCCTGTTTTCTTCCAATGCCTTCCCACACGCGAAGTGCACCGGAGAGATCAAATCTTTGAGCTTGACAAGTCAGCCCTGGTATGTAGCAAATCCCAGGTGCGGAAAGTACTTCTCAATACTTGCAGCAGATATATGCAGATGTAATTACGGCAGATACAGTCTGAACAAAGTTCAACTCGTCGGATGTGCTATCCTGCCCTCCTGTGTTTAAGACGTTAGCTCTCCAGGTCTCCGCACGGACTTTCCGACGTTTTTGTACAACGTTTCGCTACGTTTTGCTGCATGCTCGGTGTTATCCTATTGCTGGGACCGTCGCTTGAACGACGACCACTGTGCAAGTGATCAGGCAAGCGTCTTGTCTTTGACATTCGTCAGGGTAGAGCGAAGAGCCTTGCATGGGAATGCCAGGTCGCACTGCCAAAGCGGCTGAAGTCAAAGGCAACTCCAATCTAAATCCCATGGACTGGCATGGACTCCATGGGGACGCTGCTGGCACTTTCGGGATTCTAAGGGGGCGTGCTGCTGCCGTTAACTCTCTGCCTCGGATGTCTGGTCCACTTTGGTCATCGCGACCAGGGAGATGCTTTCTGCCCCAACGGCCTGGCCAAGAAGAGTTCAGAGGCCTTTCTTAGTCACGACCAGCGACGGCCAGGGTTTTAACCTTTTCTTTCTTGAATCGCTGAAAGAGCTACTTCTTCCAAGTTTTCTCTGCGCTGACGACCACGACGACTTGCGCTGCTGCGGTTGCCACTACGGACTGCATCATCAACATCGGCAGCAACTCAATCATCTTTACAATCACAACCAGCGACGGCTGGAGAATGACCGATGTGCACATGGCTTGCAAGCATCGGCGAGTCGAAGCTGGTCCCTACTTTGGCGGCGAGGTTTCAGGTAACCGCGGGCAAGCAGTCGAACTTCTGGTGGGGCGAGGCTTTCCGGAGTCTCCGAGATTGAGGTTTAAAGTTGAAGGCAGAAACCGCCGGCCGTGTTCAGCTCCACCAAGAGCTCCTCGGTGCCCAGCGCAGTTCAATGCAACGCGGGTGAGGTATCTGCAACACTTTCGGGCTTGAAGATGAGGGTTTGCGTGCGGAGAATGCAAATGAGGCCGCTGAGCAGGAAAGTCTGGGGTCGCTGGGGTGTTGCTGAAGCGGCCGAAGGTCCCCCCACAAGGAGTTCGCTGAAATGAGGAGGTCCACCAGCCTTGCATTGAAAACACGAAGGTTCAGGAGGGACTTAGAGCCACAGCTGCACATGTGATCAAGGCCGAGCAGGAGCAGCTTTACTGCCTCAAACATTAGCGTTTTCATGACTCTTGAGGTTCAAAAGCTTCGATTGCTGAGCGACCGGACTTTGCTGCTGTGTAAGTGCGCCAACATAGAAAGAGATACTTGGCCCATCACGGCGACATCTCAAGAATGCAACATGCACACAATGGGTGGCTTAGGGTTCAATTCACCACTAATATTTATTTCGATGCCTCAGCTGTGCCAACTGTCACAGGGAAGTGTTTCGATTCCGGCAACTGTTGGTAAGGATGAGACGGGGGCAATCCCGAACGAAGAACAAGCTTGCCCACATCGGAAAACACTGGAATAGGGGGCGGAAGTGACGCCCAGAACCACACACATCGAGATACGGCCCAACCCTCCCCTTCTCCGTCTCCCCCCAAACTAAACCGAAACTCCAAATCCCTACAGTACTTCCTAAGCCGCAGCGGATGTTGTGCGTCTGCTGGAAAATGCAAAATATGCAGTGTCTAGTTCTGCACCTATCTTTGAGCTCAAAGATACATGCAGGTCTTTGCAGATCCTACCAAGCTGTACTTCAAGGAAAAATAGACAGATGTGTACTGCAACTATAATGACTGCCGTGGCGTCATGGTCGGATTGCGACTACAACAGGATACAACCGGCGATGTAAGTCAGATTGAAGTTAACCCTGCAGTAGTCTTGTGGCTTACGCTTTGGATGATTCGGCTTATCATAACTCGTTCTCCGCTTACATGAAGTACACTGACACTGACACCGTATGATCCGGTTTTGCCGAAGATGCGTGTGCCGACAGAGTTGGTTGCATTTGGCTTGCTATTCACCCGGTGTCGCAATCATCATGAAGTTTTGCTATCACTCAACATGCATATCTTTGCTTTGAGCACGTTGGTTTTCGACTTGCAGGGGATATAGACACGGGTTTGGGTCTCGTGTCAGCTCAGGATAGAAGAAACCGCAGTTTCCGGGCTTCGTTGCTCAACACGAGCAAAGGTTGGGCTCTGAATCAAAAATCTCGACACAGATCTGGTCTACCTTCCCTTGCGGTCACGCGGCTCTTGTGTTGGGGGCGCTTCGACGTTCTCGGCCTTGTTGCCTGCGTGGAGGGGGCGGGCGGTGAAGTGTGGTTCCGGAAGGACGCACTGTACAGGCAACCTCTAAACCCGAGAAGATGTTGAGGTTTTCGGCTACAGGGTTTCGGAGACTGAAAACCCGCCAGTTCAACACACAACAAGCTGCTACCTTGGCTGGGGAGGAGATAGGAGGTCCAGAGGCCCAGTCTTGCGGCTGCGCAGTTAGGTTTTCGGCGGTCGGGTCTGGTTCCGGGGCTTCGGTTTCGGACTTTCTTTTTGAGGGTTGAGCTTTTGCCCATGAGCACAAGTCCAAAGCCAGAGGCCGTGCAAAAGTTTGCTGCCACAGCGACCTTGGATGAGATTGTTCATGGTCGACGATACCGTGGTCAGATCCACGATCAATCCGACTGTGCCTTGTTTGGTGCATCCGATGGCTTTTTCGTCTGGGATTTCGGGTCTGCGGTTGTAGAATCTAGGCTCCCGCAGCATTCCACGGCCAGTTCTTCCGCGTCCGATGCGCTTTCAGTCGATCCGAGGGCCGAACTCCGCAACAGCCAACAACAACGACCCCGTGATCCTGAAGCACCCCTCGCCCCGAAAAACCGCCCAGCTTCCACCACAAGCGAACTGGTGTTTTAGGCTTTATGGGTGCAGAGTCTCGAACTCCAAGATCTTTGGATGCAGGTTTTAAGTGGTCGGACCACGCATCGAATCTCAAAGTCTGCGGCGATCCTGGTCTTAAAGCAACGCAAATGTACCGGGAAGGGAAGGGAGACTTGGGGCCCAAACTGCAGTGCCACGATTTCTGCTGAGCGTCGTTCTCATATCACCCCCGAACGCCGATAGCCAAAAGGTGCTGAAAGGCCTGGAACTATCATCAAGCCGAGAAACTTCCCTGAACATTGACTCCGTTCGCAATCTGCATGAAGTACGCGACTGTGAACTGTGCCAAAGTGATGGCCTCGGTGAGGTGTTCATTCACAAGCTTTGAACTGGAAATTTAGGGACTACGTTTTGGTGTTCAGACCTGTAGACCTCCCCTCAGCTGCACCGGCACTGTCACTCTAGCACGGCACAGGGCCGCCATCGGCACCACCATCATCAGCATCATCTCATCGGCATCAGATGGCGGCCGCCACCACCACCACCACCACCA